CAGGATCTCCCTTTGCCCCCAAGTAATTTATGAAGATATTTTCCTAATCAAAGTTTGTTCCCTCCCTATGAGAAATTATGATGTTCATTTTTAAGATGAGGACATTTTCACCTTGATATATAGCCATTTAATAAACATTTATTCCTAGGAATTAAAAAGAGGGGGTGGTAATACACAAAACCATACACAAAATCAGATTTTTGATATCTTGAACTCTTGTACTGCTAAATCACTGAAGAATAATTAATAGAGGAGATCATAAACTCAAAGTCACTGTAATTATGATGATCACATTTGCGTAACTCATCTTAATCTATTATAAATTCATTATAGCAGGAGGAGTACTCTAGCCCCCAAAACATTAAAATATTCTATTAGGAAAGAAAACAACCTGGTGACATGACAATGTGTCATGTTTTTTTGTTGTTGTTTTTTTTTTAATGTGCCATGTTTTTAACATTTCTTTTTTTCTTTTTTTTTTTTTTAAGATTTTATTTATTTATTTGACAGAGACAGAGACAGCAAGAGCAGGAACACAAGCAGGGAGAGTGGGAGAGGGAGAAGCAGGCTTCCCGCTGAGCTGGGAGCCCGATGTGGGACTCGATCCCAGGACCCTGGGATCATGACCTGAGCCAAAGGCAGTCGCTTAACCACCTGAGCCACCCAGGCGCCCAATGTGCCATGTTTTTAAAAAACTATATTTTTCACCCAAATATTCTGGCAGCTCCTAAGGCCCATGAGATATCCAACTAGAAGTTAATGTACTCCAGTTGTCAGATACAGCTTTACTAGCAGCATCGCTGGGTTGTAGGCTTTTCTTTCAGTTTTCTAACAAAATCGGGGCACCTGTGTGGTGCAGTTGGTTAGGCATCCAACTTTTGGTTTCGGCTCAGGTGGTGATCTCATGGGTCGTGAGACCAAGTCCAGCCTCAGGCTCCTCACTCAGCAGGGAGTCTGCTTGGGTTTCTCTCTCCCTCTCCCTCTGCTCTTCCCCACTGTGCATACTCTCTCTCTAAATAAATAAATTAATTAATCTTTTTTTTTAAGTTTTCTAACAAAATCAATTACTTGTTCCCACTACACTCCCATTTTGTTAATGAGTTCACAAAATTATAACTTAATCACAAACATATTGGTAAATTAGCTCTGCCATCTCTTTTATTTGCCCACTCCTACCACTTTTCATCCATTCTTTCATTTGTTCATAAATCAAATATTTATGGAGCACTTTCTGTGAGCAAAGCCTCAAAGATGTAAGTGGGAAGCATGGTGCTTGCCCTTAAAGAGCACTGACTCCAGGGCAGGAGTAAAGTTTTTTGAATACTTTTAATGGAGAATTATAAATATTATTATTCATTTATTGAACCCATGTTTTGAGGATCACCAACTGTCCTCAGCAACTACATTATCTCATTTAATCTTCACCACACCACCACTTCGAGGGATGCATTATCAGCCTCATATTACAGACAATGTAACTAGTGATCAGAGAGATCAAGTGACTTACCTACGTCAATGGTAAGTAGCTGGTAAGGGGCAGAGTCCAGATCTGTACCCAGATCTGTGCTGTGCCAAGTACTGTGGAAATAAAGAAAAAAGGGGTTGCTAACTGTCTGAGTTAGCCATGAAGGCATTTCAGGAGAGCAGTGGCTTAACCTGATCTATAGGGAGTTCACCATCTAATGAGAAAAAGGGATGGCATTTATCATAGAAAGAATCATAGTCAAAGGCACGATTATATACTGTGCCTGGCCCTGAGTCAATCTTACCAATCCACTGCAGTGGAACAAGGGATTCATGAAGACCAGCTGCTCTACGCCCAATGCTTCCCAGAGTAGACAGGGTACTCCTTGAGGGCAGGGATCATGCCCTACTTATTTGGTAGGCCTCCCAGAGCCCAGCACAATATCTTATGGAGATGATGATCAATTATTCTTTGAAGAAGTGAGTTAAAGAATATGAAGTGAAATGGCAGGCAGGCAGACAGGCAGGGAGGAAAGAAGGAAGAAAAGAAGGCAGGCAGGCAGGCAGGAAGTAGAAAATACAACTTCTATCATTAAATTTTTATCACAGGGCATCTTATAGTGTTTGTTTTCCAAAACATTCTCAGGTTGTTCTTGGAGTGCTGAGTTAATTCTCTTATCAATCTCCCTTCAGGAGATAATTGCTGGTGTATAATCTTAGCCACATGATTATACTTTTTGTTATGATCCAGCAACCATAAGACTTGGCATATGCTTCAGTCATGATAGATATAGCTTTGTATATACAGTCCTGGCTAAGATGGAGTATGTAGGTCCTTGATATCAAACTTTGTTAGTTATTAATTGTAGTATTTCAATTCCATAATAATAGCAATGATAGCTTGCAGTATTTATCAACTCTACTTCCAAGGCGGTTGTACCTCTATTATCACCTCACAATAACCCATGAGGTCATTCACAGCTAATGGAGCCAAGGTTCGGGTCTGTGAGCCATGGGCTCAGGGAGACCAAGCTCCATGCCCAAACCCAAGTCTCTTAATTCCTGGTCCAATGTTCTCTCCATTCATTCAGTCTCCTTATCCAGAAAGAAAAAAACTGCCTTCAGGAAATATATTACTGTTTTTCTCTTTGTTAATCTCTCACCATTTCACTCTTTCTTTTACACACACACACACACACATACATTTTTGTCTTGGTTTGCAAGAATCTGAACTTGTTCTGAGGTACAACTTGCCCTCGGCTGGTTTTAACCCTATTCATGTCGACTTAAACGGTCTCCTTATCACTGTGATAATGGTTTTTAAAGTAGTCCGGAGGTTCAGAGGTGTCTCAATAAGGTCACCCTGGCACTCACACTATTATTAACATTTAGGATCCAGCAGCTTCTACACCTTCATTTCTGACATGAATTCACTTTTACTATACCTTTGGTATTGCTTAGTCACTCTTCTCATATACCTACTGGGTTTTCGTTTAGGACCTCCCTCCACAGCCCCAAAATGAAAGCCACTGCTCTGAGAAGTTTCTGGCCTAGAAACTACCTATCCCCACCCTCACCATAAGACCCTGGAATTGAAAGGATATTTTATTATACATGGAAGCCTTCTTAGTGTTAAACGACCATATGTAGGACTTTCAACAAGTTCAACAAGTTGGGATTTTGTATCCCTTCCTCCATTATGTTTTGAAAACCATCTTGGAATCTCTACTACCCCCTTGCTATACTGGGGTTGTGGAAGATAAAGAGCCTACATGCTATCTGCCACCCTTAAATAATCACATGCTGGAGATGGTTGGGAGGGAGGGGAAATGGGGAACAGATGCAAGAAGGAAGCATGTGACAGCTTATATGTCACTAAGCAGCAGATGACCCATCTGCATTGCTAAACACTCCAAAGGAGCTAAGTAATAAATGCCTCCCAAAGCAAACCTCCATAGTCTGAGAGTGAAGGCCCTAATCGTGGCTAAAAGCTGGTGGGAAAACTACTAGAGGCTTGAGTACAATATGGGGTTCTCATGTGGGTCTTACTTGAGACAGAGGCTCACACCCACCTTCTTCCCTAGACAAAGCTCCTCCATATCACTTGTTTTGATAGTTCCAGCCAAAAGATGGCCAACTTTTGTGTAACACCTCAAGTCCACTATGGCACCTCAAGATCTCACAATTTATTTTGGTTCATCAAAGATTTATAGAGAGTCTACCATCTGCCAAACATGGTCTTAGTCACTGGTTATCAACAAAATACAATCCTTGCCCTTGGGAGCTCTCAATCCAACAGGGAAGGCAGAAATGTAACATTTATAATCATGGAGATATTCAAAATATATAACTACCCTCATACTATGGATACCAACCAGTCAGAAGGGATATGGGCCAGTGTACATGGGCATGCTGGCTATAGACTAGGCCTGCCTATAATACCACATGGTAAGAATGAGGCAGGGGTCTCCAGAAGATGCTACGGGAACTCAGAAAAAGCTCAGTTAACACGTAACTTGAGCTGCTACATGATCAGAATCCTAGCCCTTTGAGGAGGATGGTTTTAGACCAGTAAGGTAAATAAAAATAAAGATAATGACAAAATTACCATATTTAGCACATACCATGTGCCAGCTCTGCATTAAGAACGTCCAAGAGTCCCTTTATTTGATCCTCACAATATCCTTTTTTAACAAATGAGGAAACTGTGACTTAGAGTTCAAGGGATCACACAGATTCACAGGTTTGAGCAGGGTTTGATCCCCACAAATCTGACTCCAGAGCCTGCACTTATACCTGAAATTTGAGGGATTGATTCTTCTGAAGAAAAAGAGGCTCTAAGATTTAAGGATACAGAGAGACTTGAAAGAGCTATTTGGAAGAAAAGGTGAGTTTCTTATCATCTTATTTATTGCAAAGGTGAACTGGGAATATTTTAGGTAGAGAGAGATGGTGAAGTCCTTATTCAAAAAAGTCAAACCCAGGTCAATATAAGTAAAAGTAAATATCCGGTAGTACAAAGCTAACAGTCACTTTTCTTAAGAACCCTTACAGAATAAAAGACAGGCACAACAGCCATCAGGCAGATATTGTTCAAAGTGCCTCAAGAGGTGAGCAGTGGGCACAAGGGACCCTTGTTCCAACTCTGAAGAACCCTGTTGAAATGTGAAGAGTAAACTGGCTTTTAGAACATGCGTTTGGATCATAGAAATGTTCCCCTTGTCTGTCTTTTATCAATTGCATGGAAACAGCCTTTTTAAATCTAAATAGTTGATCTGTTCTCGCTGCCTGATTTACACGTAAACTCATATAATTTCCTCTTGGAGACCTTTACAACCAGGGTGGGGAAAAGGCTGTGATGTCAGCCCAAGAGAACTATAGCTTCATTTGCAGGCAAAACAGCGGGAAAGGAAAAAAAAAAAAAAAAGAGAGAGAGATTTTCTGGAAGAATTTCTAAAAGATCTTTTCATATGGAATTTTCTAAATAATAAGAGACAGGTGGAAATTTCACCCACAGAACTGATTTTTTATGGTACCTTTCCAAGAGTCCAATGTTCTCAGGATCCCAGGTCACAGGAAATTCATTTCTGTGGATTTAATGAAAATACAAAAATAAGTAAAAAACAGCCTCTCCCATTCTCTTCTATCAAAATGCAAAGATTTCTGTTTAAAAAGTGTAAATCCCAAGCGCTGAGGTTGAGGGTATCACTGAGGGAAAAGCTACTGTTCTAAAGACAAAAAAAGTAGTATTACCCAGAGTATCCAACACGATATTGAAGGAGAAGAAAGTTGGAGAACTGGCTCTACTTGACCTTGAGGCTAGAGGAAATCTGGTTGTTTTGGACCAAGTACCTGTTTGAAACAATGATCTTATTTAGTCTATGAGGAAACCATGTATGTGCTGGTGACTCCAAAATTTATGCCTCTCCCCTAAGGGCCAGACTCGTGTTTCCAACTGCTTACTCAGCATCTTCACTTGGATATCTCACGGACATCCCCTTAACATGGCTGGAACAGAGCTCTTAACTTCATTCCCAAACCCGTTCCTTTCCCAGTCTTCCCCATCTCAAAAAATGGCATCAAATCATCCTTAAATTATTTCTTTCTTTCAACCTCCACTTACCATCTGTTGCCTCTCCTGAATATATTAAAAATTTCTGTTTACTATCATTCTGCTTGAAACAACTGTCTTTTTTATATACTCTACTGTAAAAGCATCATATCTGGTGTCCTGACTTCTCTTGCCCCATAGCAATCCATTCTACAAGATGATTTCTTTTGTATAAAGTTTTTCAAATTTTTATTTTGTACAATCTCAAATTTATAGGAAAGTTGCAAGTGTCATACAAAGAATTTTCCTTTCCTGGACTATTTTAGAGTAAGTTGCCAATACAATGCCTGTCACCCCTAAATACCTTAGTGTACATTTCCTACAAACAAGGGAATTAGCCTATATAACCACAATACACCTCTCAAAACCAGGAAACTAATATTGATTCATTGTTACCATCTAATCTGCAGACCCCTTTCAAGTTTCACCATTTTTGCCAGTAAGTCATTTACAGCAACAAGATCCAATCTGGAATGATGTGTTGCTTTTCTTTGTCATGTCTCTTTATAAAGTTTCTTTCAGTCTGGAATGGTTCCTCAGTCTCTCTTTGACTTTCATGACCTTGACACTTTTTAAGATCATAGGCCAGTTTGTTTATTGCTGTTGTTTTTAAAGAATGTCTTTTAATTTGCTTTGTCTGATGTTTTTAACATGACTAGATTCAGGTTACACATCTTTCACAGGAAGATAGAAATACTTTCATTGAACTCTATCAAACGTCACACACTTTTAATTTGTCCTCATGTTGGTGATGTTCACTTAGATCGTTTGATGAAAGTGGTCGCTGCCAGGCTTTTCCACCCTGAGGTTATTCTCGTTTCTCCTGTTATTAATAGGTATTTGTGGGGAGGTACTTTGAAACTATGTTAACTGTCCTGTTTTAATCAAACTTTCCACTTATATATATTTATCCACTTATTTATATCAGTGTGGACTCATGCGTTTTATTCAGGGGATTAAAAACTTTGCTAACATTACTTGTTCCCAGTTGCTATAATTGTCTACCAAAGAGGGGATTTATGGTAGGTTTATTCTTGGTCCCTCTCCTAAGAATAGAAGTGCCCCAAAGAAGAAATTTATGGCAATTCTCACTTCTCAGAATTGTCTGCTTTTAGTCAAATAAAGGAAGCTCCAAGAAGGCTTCTTTCTGCATCTGTTGAATCCCAAATATCTCCAGCTTAAAATAATCTTTATACCAACTCTGAGGTTCCAAGTGGGTCCACACACTGCTAAGTTATTTTCCAAAGTGGCTGTACTATTTTACATCCTCACCAGCAGTGAATAAGAGTTCTGATAGCGCCACATGCCTGCCAACACTTGGTATGGTCAATCTTTATAATTTTAACCATTCTGTGGCTAAATATGTAGTCATATCACACTGTGGTTTCAGTCTGCATTTCCATAGTAGCTACTGATGTTGAGCATGTTTTCATGTGCTTATTAGCCATCCAGATTTTTTTTATTAGTGTTTGTTAATATCTTTTCTCTGTTTTTATTGGGTCATTTGTCATCTTAGTGTTGCAGGATTGCAGGGTTCTTGTCTCATGGAGCCAAAGAATAAATCTTGCTGACACAAAGGGTGAGGTGAAGTGAAAGTTTATTAAGGAAGGTGAGAACACAAAGGAAAGAAAAAAGCTCTCTAGAGCGAGAGAGGTCCCAAATGGGTTGCCACTGAAGGCTTTTAGTGCAGTCTTTTACTGAGAACTGACTGGGAAGCGTGTGTCCTCGAGATGCCAAGTTGATTTGTTCCCTTATCTCTTGTTTAGCCCTGTCTTAGCATCTCCACCTGCCAGGAATAGTTTTGAAGACTAGTTAGGGAAGTTAGGGGCCTCCTATCTCTCCTGCCTAGACCTTAACTCCTTCCCTATTCATGGGACAGTATCTGTGGGCAGAAAGAGCTATAATGGGATTGTGAAGAGTGATTGATTCTGTACTTGTTAATTAGTGGAGGTGAGGAATAGCACAAGTCTCCAAGGAATCTGGAAACAAAGCTTACAGGACCTTGAGGGGACAGCTGCTGCCAAGATAAGGTTACTTTTAAACATTAAGACACTAAGGCAGCCACAAGTTCCTTGACGAAGGACACGGTCTACATGTTTCAGGTATCTGTCAGTGAGCTGCAAGCTGTAAGGAGATTTTAATTTAAGTTATATTTCTTTTGCTTTTGTTTCCCACATCATTATTATGGACTTGTAGGATTCTTCATACATTCTAGATATAAGTCTGTGCCCTGTGTTTTCATTTTAAGTTTCCTTTTGAAGAGTAAACTCTTCAAAGAAGAGTCAATTTTAGTGCTCTAAATTTTCCTCTCTAAAGTGTATCCCACAAATATTGATACATCATGATGTCAATGAAATTCACTTCCAAATACTTTTGGAATCCTAAGAATCCCATTTCGAGACACATTACTCCCTCTTTCTTCAATCAAAGACAGACAGAACAACGACCAACTTGGGTGATGGCAATTAACTATTACCAAAACATTTCCTCCTTAGGTTTAAATAACCTAACAATACTATTAGCTCCATTTCACAAATAAAATGAAACTATAATTTAATCAAGGAATTGAAATAACTTGCCCAAGGTTGAAATATTAGCAAAAATAGATTGAAGTTGTATTCAGGTCACGTGACTCCAAATCTCATCCCCTTTTCTCTGTGCTTTGCCCAAATCTGTGACAGTCTAAGTTAAAATCTGTTCACAAGTTAAGTTTCTAATATAGTTTGTAGTTTAAAAGGACAGGGATGCCCCACTCTCACCACTACTGTTCAACATAGTACTAGAAGGCCTAGCCTCAGCAATCAGAAAACAAAAAGAAATAAAAGGTATTCAGACTGGCAAAGAAGAAGTCAAACTCTCACCCTTTGCAGATGACATGATACTTGATGTTGAAAACCCAAAAGACTCCACCCCAAAATTGCTAGAACTCATACAGGAATTCATCAACATGGCAGGATATAAAATCAATGCACAGAAATCAGTTGCATTTCTATACACTAACAACATGTCTGAAAAAAGAGAAATTAAGGAATCAATCCCATTTACAATTGCACCAAAAGCCATAAGATACCTAGGAATAAACCTAAACAAAGAGGTAAAGAATCTGTACTCAGAAAACTATAGAACACTCATGAAAGAAATTGAGAAAGACACAAAGAAATGGAAAAACATTCCATGTTCATGGATTGGAAGAATAAATATTGTTAAAATGTCTATGCTACCCAGAGCAATCCACACATTCAATGCAATCCTTATCAAAATGCCATTGACATTTTTCACAGAGCTGGAACAAAGAGTCCTAAAACTTGTATGGAACCAGAAAAGACCCCAAATAGCCAGAGGAATGTTGAAAAAGAAAACCAAAGCTGGGGGCATCACAATACCTGACTTCAAGCTATATTACAAAGCTGTGATCATCAACACAGCATGGGACTGGCACAAAAACAGACTCATAGATCAGTGGAACAGGATAGAAAGCCCAGAAATGGACCCTCAACTCTACGGTCAACTAATCTTCAACAAAGCAGGAAAGAATATCCAACGGAAAAAGGCTATCTCTTCAATAAATGGTGCTGGGAAATTTGGACAGCCACATGAGGAAGAATGAAACTGGACCGTTTTCTTACACCACACACAAAGATAAACTTAAAAGGGATGAAAGACCTAAATGTGAGACCAGAATCCATCAAAATCCTAGAGGAGAACACTGGCAGTAATCCCTTTGACCTTAGCCGCAGCAACCTCTTTCAAGACATGTCTCTAAAGGCAAGGGAAACAAAAGCAAAAATGAACTATTGGGACTTCATCAAGATAAAAAGCATCTGCACAGCAAAGGAAACAGTCAACAAAACTAAAAGGCAACCTATGGAATGGGAGAAGATACTTGCAAATGAAATATCAGATAAAGGGCTGGTATCCAAGATCTATAAAGAACTTATCAAACTCAACTCCCAAAAAAACAAATAATCCAGTCAAGAAATGGGTCAAAGACAGGAACAGACATTTCTCCAAAGAAGACATACAAACGGCCAACAGACACATGAAAAAGTGGTCAACATCACTTGGCATCAAAGAAATACAAATCAAAACCACAATGAGATATCACCTTACACCAGTCAGAATGGCTAAAATTAACAAGACAGGAAACAACAAATGTTAGCAAGGATGCAGAGAAAGGGGAACCCTCTTACCTTGCTGGTGGGAATGCAAGCTGGTGCAGCCACTCTGGAAAATGGTATGGAGGTTCCTCAAGAAGTTAAAAATAGAGCCACTCTAAGACCCAGCAGTTGCACTACTATTTATCCCAAAGATACAGATGTAGTAAAAAGAAGGGGCACATGCACCCTAATGTTCATAGCAGCAATGTCCACAATAGCCAAACTGTGGAAGGAGCCAAGATGTCATTCAACAGATGAATGGATAAAAATGTGATTCATATATACAATGGAATATTACTCAGCCATCAGAAAGGATGAA